AGCCCTCTCCTCCCTGCCCCCAGTGGCCCTGCACCTCAGGGTCACCAGCAGTCCCGGTTAATGATAACCCTGATGTTTATGCAGCGCTGGGGAATGGGTGATGGTGGAACAGGGAGCTCACGGGGCACTCCTGGTCAGCTCTTGTCAAGCCTGCCTTCTTTCCCTCTGAGAGGCGGCTCTGGAGTGCTAACCATCATGCCTGCAATTCTAGCTTCACCACTTTCTAGCTGTGTGTTGTTGGCAAATTGACTACTTCTCCTTTCTCTTGGCTCAGTTTTTCCTTCTACAAAGTAATAAAGTTGTTGCTGTTGAGTCAGAAGCAACTCAGAGCTGTCAATGGCTCCAGAGGTTGCCCATTGCTATCCTGGTGGAGTCAAACCACCAGAGAGGTTTGGCCTTCAGCTCCCTGTGAACTATGCCACCAGATTATCCGCCTTGGAGGAAATGTCTTAGTTATCTAATGCTGCTATAGCAAAGGTACCACAAGTGGTTGTCTTAAACAAATAGAAATTTATTATCTTACCTCAGCCAGGTAGAGTGACACAGTGACTGTAGCAATGGGCTCAAGTGTGTCAGAGATTTTGAGGCTGGCACAGGATAGCACAGGGTTCAGATCTGTTGTTCACAGGGTTGCTATGATTCTTACTCAACTTGATGACACCTAACAACAACAGCCATTTAGGAGGCTCATTCACTCATTCATTGTGGTGAAGCTGGAACCTACGACTCATAGCAGACCCTCCAGCAGATTTTCAGAGACTGAAGAAGATGGCCCACCTTTCTCCCAAGGAGCAGCTGATAGATTTGAACTACTGACCTGATAAGGATTGACAACACAACTCCTTACCTACTAGGCCTCCTCTAAAGGAAGGCTCTCTCCCTCTGTCAGTTCCAGAGCAAAGTCCTCATTTTCTTCAGCATCTGTAAGCCTGTTGCTCCATGGAGATCTCAATGTCTTAGCCTTCTCTGGTGTCTAGGTGTTCCTTCACGCTGGGCCTCAGGTCCAAAATGATGCGCTCCACTTCTGGCAACTCTTTCTGGTGATACTGGAAGTCTACTAACCTCTGGGCTTGATACTCCATTCCACCCTTGATCTTTCACAACTAGTTATCAGATCAAGGGAGACCATTACATAGCTTTCACATTATATTTTTATATACATGTATTTTTAGGGAAGGGTGAAAGGGAATCATGGCAATAAGTTTGGGACGATTAACTATGTAAAACAAACAAATAAACAAAAAACATTTAGAGCAAAGCCTGAGACACTGTAAACTATTTTTTTTTCAAAAAAGCTAGCTATCATCAATTATTGCCATCTTCATCCTCATTATCTTCATTCAAAACTGAGAGTTTAGGTCCAGCAATATCCCATTTATTATACTTTCTATATGCCCTTGCAAAGACCCCATAAAGAAATTGACCATCTCTGCTTTACAGATGAGGAAACCAAGAGCTGAAGCCCAGTCAACCAGCCCACTGCTGTTAAATTGACTGCCTCTTCTTTCTCCTGTGAAGCAGGTGGTGGGTATGAACTGCTCACTTTTACGTAGGCAGTGCAATACTTACCCCCTTGTACCACTAGGGTGCCTCAAGACCTGAGGGACCTTACTACTGAAATCATAGAACTGTTAGAATGCAGAACAGACACTAGAACTCAAAGCTCGTCTCCAAGATTGTAGACTACTTTGAGGTAAACACTCTATGTGAAGCCCCAAACAGGAATTGTTGCCTCAATTGTCTCAATGAATAACCTCCACTCTCGGAAAGTTGGTACCATTTGACAAGTGGGAAAACTGACAGGATCAGAGAAGCTGATGAACTTATCGCACAGAACTGGACCTAGAACCCAAATCAATGTGACCCCTGTGATGGGGCCTGCCCTCCAGGAGTCTTCTGGGTATTTGTAAGAGGATTTGTGTGTATTCCTCAGTGACAAGAGTAGGCCTTCTGATCCCAGGGAACAAGAGGGTCCCTCCTAATGGTTAGGTTTAAAGCTGACCAGCCTGGAAAAGTGGAACTAACCATTTAACCTCCTTGTGTCTCAGTTTTTCCACCTATAAAGTGGTGATAGAAATACTATCTTTGCCATAGGGTTATGGTGAGGATTTAGTAAATGTGTAACAAGAATAGCATGAAATAAGTGATCAGTAAGTATTATTCTCTTTTTAATTTTATTATGTCTTTCTTCTTTCCTTTATTCATGAATACACTTAAAGAGATTTCCATTTAAAAATATATGTATTCTTATTTCCTTTAACACCTCCATCATCCTCCAAATTAAGACTATACAAGAGTTTAATAACTTCTCTATTATTGAACATTTCATTTCTTTCACTATTAGTGCTAGGCATTATCAGGTAGACCTTGATTCATGTCAACCCAGTATACAAAGGGAAAAAGCTTGACCTGATCCTGTGCCAACCTAAGATCCCACTTTGCTGTAGATTATGGTTTCAGGCACTGTGTCTATCCATCTTGTTGAAGACCTTCCTCTCCTATGGCCCTCCACCTTTCCAAACATGAGGTGTCCTTCCAAGGATTTACCATCCTGGTAACATTTTCAATGTAGATGAAGTGGAATCTCACCATGACTGTGTCTAAGGAGCATTGTGATGAATTTCTTCTAAGACTTCTTTGTTCTTTTGGCATGACTTTGGGTAGCCAATACTCTTGACCAACACCACAATTCAAAGATATCAAATATTCCTGAGTCTTTCTTATTTATTGCTTAAGTTTCACAAGAATAGATGCAATTGAAAATATCATGGCACCAGGATTTTTTTTTAGTTTTTGAATAAGTATTATTCTTACCATTTTAGGTGTCATTTATTGATTTTTCTTCTTGAATGGGCAGAATTTACCCAACAACTTGTTAACACCTTAGCCCAACTGTACTTATACCCTTGAATTCTGATTTCCAAAGAGAGAATGCAAACAATGGCATGGAGAGAGCCTGGGTCTGCATCCCAGCTCCACCTGACCGATCAGGTAGACTAGAGCACAAGTTACCTGCTCTCTCTAAACTTCAGTTTCTCCATCAACTCAAACTCATCCCCGTGCAGTCACAATCACTGCCTAGCTGACCCTCCAGAAGGTTTTTGTGAGACTGTAAATTTCATAGAAGGAGACTGGTGAATTCAAATCACCTTTGAGTTAGCAGCACTATTCCCTGCAGACTATGCCACCAGAACTCCTCTGTAAAACACTGCTGTTATTGTGTACCATTGGGTTTGAGCTGACTCATGGATGACTCTCCAGTAGGGTTTCAGAGCCTTTAAATTGCATAGGAGATTGCCCATCTTTTCCCTGAAGAGCAGCTGGTGGATTTGAACCACGTACCTTGGGGTTGACAATGCAACTTCTTACTGCTAGTTCACCAGAGCTCCCTCATCTGTAAAATAGTGAGGATAATAATACCAACCTCAGAAGTTTGAGGTGAGGATAGAATGAGTTAGTAGATAAAGATGAATTAGGGCAGAGTCTGATGGGGTGGAAACGCTGAAGAAGAGGGTGTCATCATCATCGTCATTTTCTTGGGCTTATATATGGGTGGAGGCAACGCTGTCAGTCTGGAGACTAAGGTGCACCTGATCCAGTCTAGGGTCTTTGCAATTACTTCCTATGCATCAGAGAACTGAATAATGACAAAAGATGATAAAAGAAGAATCGATGCCTTCGAGTTGTGGTGCTGGAGAAGAGTCTTGAACATACCATGGACCGCCAAGAAAACAAACATCTGTCTTGGAGAGAGTGAAACCAAGTTTCTCCTCGGAGGCAAGGATTTTGGAGCGCCCTCTCACATACTTCTGGCATGTGGCCAGGAGGGATCGATCTTTGGAGAAGGACATCATGCTCACAAGGATGGAGGGACAGACTGCAGAAGAGGAAGATCCGGGATGAGATGGATTGATTCAGTAACTGGGGCAATGGGGGTAGGTGTGAGTCAGTGAGAGTGGCTCAGGGCAGGGCAGGCTTCAGAGCTGTTGTACATAGAGGTCGCTATGAGTCGCTGGGCACTCCATGGCATATAACAACGACAACAACAGAGGCCTATTGATCCCCGCAGGTAGCCTTTCCATGGATTTAGGGTTGATGAAGGGACAACGTGCATTTTGGGCGAGGAAACGATCCGAGTGGAGCCGCCAGAGGGAGTAGCTGAGCCTGACCTGCCCCGCCCCCAACCAGCCGCATTAGCCACGCCCTCCACCCCTTGCTTGGACTGGGAACTTGCTGGGAGTGGCCAGTGGGCAGTCTCAATCCCAAGTGGCCTCCTCTTCTTTTACGCCCTCACTCCTGCAGAACCGTCTAGTCCCCACCCTAACGACAATCTTCATCACACACCCTCGGTGGGGTGAAGGGGTGTAGTCAGGGCAGGGGGCTGTCTGGGAGTGGCCATGCCGCAGCCTCGGTCCCTGGAGGCCCCTCCCACAGGCCCCAGGGCGGCCCTTACGAAGTCCTCTGACCCCCTCCTCCTTCCTGCCTTCCCCTGCCAGGGCTCACTGAGTCCCCTTCCCAAACCTTCAGGGAGCAGGGACAAAGGGTGTGGAAACTACGAGGGACTGGAAGGGAGGGCCAGAGAGCGAAGGGAGGGCGGAGGATGAGAAATAGGAATACTAGACAGAAGTACACAGAGAGAGGGAGACAGAAAGAAATCTTGAGAGACGGAAAACAGAGAGATAGAGAGAAACAGGCAGAGGGAGGAAGACAGAGGGGAAATAAAGCGACAGAGAGAAACTAACAAGATCCGAACTACAAAAAGGAAACAGAAAGGGAGAAGAGGGGGAAATACACAGATAATTAAGCATCACAGAGATAAAGAGTGATAAAGTCTGAAAGAGGGACAGAGAGAGAAGGAACAGGGGAGCCAGGGACCCGTGAGTCAGCTGGCAGGATGGAGGGACGCCTGGCAGGGGAGAAGTAGTGCTCGAAACGTGGGTCGGTCTGGGTGGGTGGGCAGAGAGAAGCCAGAGCTTCAGACGGGGGTGGGGTGAGGGGGCATGGGAGGGACAGGCATTCTGCTGCTACTGCTGGCTGGGGCAGGGGTGCAGGTGGCCTGGAGATCCGCAAAGGGGAAATGCTCCCTGCGCTGTTCCTGCTCCAAAGACAGAGCCCTGTGCGAGGGCTCCCCGGACCTGCCCGAGAGCCTCCCCCCAACCCTGCTGTCACTGTGAGTGTCAGGCCCTCTGGGGGCCTAAAGATAGAGAAGAGGGTCGGAAGAATGGGGTACTCCAGGTCGGGAAGTGAGGGCCACAGAGGAATGTCTGAATGGGGCCTTCCGGAAGGGAGAAGAAAAGTGGGGACTCTGAAGGGCAGGGGCAGCGCTGAGGGTCCAGGGTGGGCTGAGTGCTACCGGAGTTCCTGCAGGGCTACACCTAAGACCTTGGTCCAGGTGGCACGTGAGGGCTCTTCCAGCCAGGAGAGGGCTCCAGGACAAGGCTGGAGCACTTGAGGGGCTGATTTCCTTACCCCTCACCACTGCCCGCGTCCCCCAGCTCTCTCGTGAGGATTGGAGTCACGCAGTTAAAGGCTGGCAGCTTCCTGAAGATGCCGTCACTGCACCTGCTGTGAGTGGGACCTAGCTCTAAAGAGTGGGGTTCATGGATGGAGGTGCATGTGGGGCATGTGTTCACACCCAGAGCTGGGATGAGTATCCATGCTCATGGCAAGGTGTGTGTGTGTGTGTGTGTGTGTGTGTGTGTGTGTGTGTGTGCGCGCCGTGCATGCGTGCTCGCATTCTGTGAAAGCATTGTGTCCACGTGCAGTCACCCCCCACATAATGTGTGTTTGTGTTTGTGTTCATGTGAACAAAGGATGTGAGCCCAGACTAAGTGCTAGTGGGGGCAACAACTCTGGAAAAACTCCTTTCTTGCCCTCTTGCCAGCCTGTTCACATCCAACTCCTTCTCCGTGATCGAGGATGATGCGTTTGCAGGCCTGTCCCACCTGCAGTACCTGTGAGTGAGACCAGGGCTGAGCACGTGGTAATCTGGGGACAATGGGATGGTGCTATGCTCTCAGAGGGTAGGAGTTTAGGAACCTGGGGAGAAAATATAAGGATCCTCTCTAGAGGGATAAGAACCCTGGCTACTTGGGGGGAGGGGGGAGCTGCTGGTGATCTCAGCCTGCTTATGTCACTGTTCTATGCTTCAAGATTTCCAAAGGGTGCAGATGACCATAGACTCTTCCCTGTCCCGTTTGATTCAAGGGAGCCCAGGGAGGGTGTGAAGGGGCTAGAGATAGAAAATGAACAAGAAATACCTGTGAGTTAGACGATGGTGATAGTATTGATGGCGGTGCTGATGATGGGTGATGCTATCGATGATGGCAGGGGTAGTGGCAATGGCAAGTATAGTTTCCATGCCAGTGATGCTGGCATTCGTGATATTGGTGATGATAATGACAAGTGGTGATCTTAATGCTGCTGATGGTGGCGAGGTGACAGTGTTATTGATGAGGACGATATTGATAAAGACGATGACATCAGAAGCTGATGATAAAGATGGCGTTGTTGGTTACAGGGGATTTGTAACTATGGTATTGGTATTGGTCAATTGGTATTGGTGATACTATGGGTAGAATGTTGGTGGCTGTGATAATGACAATGTTACCAGTATTGGGTTTGGGGATGGTGGTGGTGTAGGAAATCGTAATAACTGAAGATGTGAGTGTTTGGGATAATGGTGTCGGGGTGCTACTACTGTGATTTGTCATAATAATGGCAGTATTGGTATTGGACTCTAGTGGCCTAGAGGTAAGAAGCTGCGCTGCAATCCCAAAGGCACGCAGTTCTAATACACCAAATTGCTCTGTGGGAGAAGGAAGGGCAATCTCCTCCTGTGTGATTTACTGCCTCTGAAAACCCACTGCAGGGTCAGCTTTGGGCCAGTTCCAACTCGATGACACCTCTATGACACACAACACCACTGATGATTATGGTGGCAGTTATGTTGATATTAATCTTGAAAGTTGTAATACTGTTAATAATTATCATTGTTGCTGCTGTAGATGAATTGTTGGTGGTGATGGTAAAGGTGATGAGGGTGATATTGGTAACTACATTGGCAGTGGTGGTATCAGCATATAATGGTGGTGATAATACAGTTGTTGCATGTGTTCTGAGGGCAGTGGTAGAAGCATCAATATTAGTGATGTCATGAGTGGTGGAGGGTTTGGTGTTGACAATGCCGGTTTGTTGTTGTTGTTGTTGTCGTCGTCAGGGGCCACCAAATCCATTACGGCTCATAACAACGCCATCGACAACAGCTCTGAACCTTCTTGTGCTGCCCAGCACCACCCCCATCATCTCTGGCTTGCTTGCGGCCCATTGTGGTGGTCACTGTGCCAATCCACCTGGCTAAGGGTCTTCTCTTTCCCTGACCTTCTGCCCTTTCCTAGATGGTATCGCTCTCCAAGGGTTGGTTCCTCCGGAAAATATGCCTAAAGTAAATGAGATGAACTTTCGCCATCCTTTGTCATCCTTGTCAACCAGAGTACTCTGGTTGCACTTTCTTCAAGACAGATTTGTTTATTCTTTTGGTCAATACTCTGCTGACATCAAAATTCAAAGGCATTGATTCTTCTTCTGTCATTCAGTGTCCAACTTAGTTTAAAGACTCAGTCAAGCCCTGGTATTTTGAGCTGTTTCCAATGCATCCGAAAGTTGGACAGTGAATGTTGGTTTAGGGCTTGTGCTAACCGTAGCAGGGGTAGTGTTCGTGGGTAGGCTGGCAATGACCAGAGGGCAAGTTTCTCGGCTCCTGAGATTGTTAGCTGGGACCTTGGTGAGGGGAGGTTACCAGGGGCCTTTTCTGGGGTTGGGATTTTGCACTTACATTGGCTTTGGCTTCTGTGTGGTGAGTTCTCCTAACACCATGAGGCCATAGCAGGGGAGTAAAGGTCTCCCCCTCACCCCACTTTCCCTCCACAGCTTCATTGAAGACAATGAGATTGGCTCCATCTCCAAGAACGCTCTCAGAGGACTCCGCTCACTCACACACCTGTGCGTACATGCGTAGTCCCCCCTCCTCCGTGCCCGCCCCCCCCCCAGGTACCGTGTAGTTTAGGGTATTTGTTGATAGTCCCTCCTCCTTCTCTTTTCCTCACCAGTAGCCTGGCCAACAACCAGCTTGAGACCCTTCCCAGATTCCTATTCCGAGGTCTGGAGACCCTGACGCATGTGTGAGGATCAGGGGGTCTGGGCGGGGGCGGGAGGCATTGGGGAGCCCTGAAGGAGGAAGAGGTGCCTGTGTCACTTTGGAGTGGCACGTGAGGGTACGGCAGCGATGATGCTTCCTGTTCTCCGGTACCAGTGGAGCCCCACCCTCGGGAGGAGGTGGCAGCGTGACCAGAAGGTCAAGGCCTGGTTGCAGCTCCTCCCTGGCCTTTTGCCCCAGGGACCTGCGTGGGAACCCGTTCCAGTGTGATTGCCGGATCCTCTGGCTGCTGCAGTGGATGCCCGCGGTCAATGCCAGCGTGGGCACGGGGGCCTGCGCAGGCCCCACCGCCCTGGCCCATCTGCAGCTCCACCACCTCGACCCCAAGACGTTCAAGTGCAAAGCCATAGGTGGGAGTTTTCCCAGCAGGGTGGGTGGGGGTAATGGGGGCCACTCAGAAAAGGAGGGTGATCAGAGGAAATGGCTTCAGGACCAAGAGGCTGACATCACTCCCTACCCTGTTCTTTCCTGGCTGTGAAACCTTGTGCAAGCAATATCGCCTCCCTGAGCCTTGGTTTCCTTATCTGTAAAATGGACATAATAAACAGTGGCCTAGGGTTGCCATGAAAATGCAACCATTTTTGACAATTGTGTTAGGTGCAGGGCTTAGAACAGGTGGCCCTTAGAAGATCTTGTTGTTAGCAAGTTCTGGTGGCTTAGCAGTAAGGAGCTGTGCTGCTAACCCAAAGGTAAGTAGTTCTAATCCACCAGCTGCACTGTTAGAGAAAGTTGACCAATATTGTCCCCTGCAATTACCACCTCTGAAAACCCACTGGAGGGTCAACTATGGGCCAGTTCCAGCTCAACAGTGTACAACACCATTCTTGTGGTTAATATAAAACTGACCATTTTTAAATTGTGCTAAGAATTGCATGTACGTCATCTTCTTATTTATATTTATTTTCATCTTGCTCTTGTAGGAATATTTTAGTGTCTTATGAGAACTCTGGTAACTTAGTGGGTAAGGAGTTATGCTGCCAACCCAAAGGCATTCAGTTCAAATCTACCGACTGCTCAATGGGAGAAAGATGGACCGTCTCCTCCCAGGCTATTTACTGCCTCTGAAAACCCACAGAAGGGTCAGCTATAAAGTGGTTCCAACTCCATGGCCATGGGCTGTGATTTGACTTTTACAAGCCTTGGACTGTGTCCCCGGGACGTGCTGATGGTTTAGGGCTCTATCTGAAAGCTTGCTTGGCAACCAAGAGGAGCCTCAAAGACAGGCCTGGTAATCTGTTTCTAAAGACCACAGCCTTGGAAACCCTGTGAGATGGTTCTGTTCTGCACACATGAGTCAGAACTGACTTTCCAGCGACAAGAACGTAGGCCCAGAGCAATGCAGGGAACTCAGCTGTGAGGGAGGCAGGGCTGTGGTGGGGCACCCAGGCAGAGTGATGGGGCTGGGGTGGGGGGATCCTGGAAACTGCTGGAGCCCAGACAGAACAAGGCCCAGATACAGCGGAAGATCGAGAGGGACTTCCGGAAAAAGGAGCCATTTAAGCTGAATCCTGAGGCCTCTAGGAAACGAATGCTCCCAATTGTAGTCTTCCTCTCTTTCAGTGACCCTCCCCCTATCCCAGCATGATGTCAGGGTTGACCTCTCCTAATAATAATTCCAAAGCATGCGAGATGAAGTTCCCATCCTTGCCTCTAAGAAGTACTGTGGTTCCACTCTCTCAACAAGATGATTCGACCCACCTGTAGCAATGTATACCAGGGATGGGGAGGATGGCACAGGACAGGGCCGAGTTCACGTTTGCTGCTCATAGGGCTGCCACAAGTTGTAGTCAACTCCATGGCATCTAACTACAATCGTACTGTTGGTGGAAAATATTGAGTGGACGGCCCGAAGAACGAACACATCTGTCTTGAGGAGAGTGCCACCAGTGTGCTCCTCAGAAGCAAGCACAGTGAGCCTTCATCTCACATACTTAGAGCATGTTGTCAGGAGGGGCTGGTTCTGGGAATAGAACATCACTCTGGGAAAAGTGGAGGGTCAGAGAAAGAAGGGCGGATCTTCCATGAGACGGACTGAACATGACGGCCACGATGTGTGTGAGTGCAGCAGAGAACGTGAGGCTGGCACAGGACCAGACGGGGTCTAATTCTGTTGTGCACAGGGTGTGAGTCAGAAGTGACTCGAAGGCACTTCGCAACTACTCCTGATAGGTTGACACGGTGTTTGCCGCCATGGTGCTCAAGCCCAGCAGCAATTGTGCCGGCAGCTCAGGGCCAGGCGAGGGGCTCTCCTGCTGTCCACAGACAGCGCCTGCACACTGCTGTCACAGTGTAAGGCATATTTTTGGTCTACATGACTCACTAAACAAGAGAATTTAACTTTGTGGTTCCTCAGTAGACAATCATTTAGAAAACATTCACTCAGTTCCACTTGGGGCCCTATCTTGTGTAAGGAGATAAGGACACTGTGGTGACCCTGTACCCTGGCCTGTTGGGACTCAAAGTCTTGGGGATGAAGGGAGATAAACATAAAATAAAACATTGTATAGATAAGTGGATGCTATAAATTATGATAAATATAAGGAGCCCTGGTGGGCCATGGGTTAAGCACTGGATTGTTAACCAAAAGGATGGTAGCTCAAAATATACCAGCTGCTACGTGGGAGGAAAATGAGGCAGTCTGCTTCCATAAAGATTTACTGCCTTGGAAATTCTAGGGGGTATTTCTACCCTATCCTGTAGATTTGCTGAGGTGGAACCACCAGCAGTGCATATTTGCAGTGAGCTCCAGTGGCATGATGGGGGAAAGTCAACAGTTCGAATCTATCAGTCGCTCCACAGGAAAAAGCTGGGGCGTTTTCTCCTTTAAAGATTTTCAACCTCAGAAAGAAACCACTTGCAGGGTCTCAGTGACTCAGAATGAGCCACAGTCATGGATTAGAGGGTCATGGTGCTCCTTAGAGGAAAGGATGGTGAGGCTTCCTCTCACATAGTGTAGCATGTTGTTAGGAGGGGCGATTCCTTGGAAAGAGAGACCATGCTTGGAAAAGTGGAAGGTCAGCAAAAGGGAGGAAGGCCTGCAACGAGATGGATTGACACAGTGCAGCAAACATGTCAGAGATGATGAGGACAGCACAGCATGGGACACGGTTTAGATCTGTTGTTGAGTCATTGTCAACCTAATGGCACCTAACAACCAGGGCTAATGCAGAAGATTAACAGGAGGGAGGTTTCTAACTTTCATGCGCGATCAGAAAGGGCTTCTCTGAAGAGGTGGCAGTAGAGCTTGGTTTGCTAAGAACCAAGGGAGTGGCGCTGAAAAGAGAAGGACGCTCCTTGAGGAGGCAGAGCTTGTCCTGTTTGGGCAAAAACAAGCACAGGATACAAGCTTGGTGAAGGGAAGGGCACAGATAAGGTTGGAGGCTAGCAGCGCCCTCACCGTGCAGCACTGTAAAAGCCACAGGTAGGAGAGTGAACTTTATAGTAAAGACCATGAAAGTCATGGAGAGCTTTGAGCAGTGGGGTGAGTGACAGAATTTGATGGATTTTTTTTTTAAATACTGATTTCTTTACCAAGTTCATATACATTGTATTTCACACTGGAGCTTTCTCATTTCCTTCAGCCCCACCTCCCTCCACCCATCAAACTGTGCGACCCTATGACTATTGCCTGCCCCCCTACCCCGTGCCAATCCTCAGCCCTGTACTTCCACCCTCCTCCCCCCTTGGATCCTCATACTCGTTCTACATTAATGGTCTTATACAATATTTGTCCTTACGGGATTGAGTTAGTTCACTCAGCATAATGCTCTCCAGTCCCTCCCAAGTTAGGTAGTAATTTATAAAATCATTGATCCTGTGTCTGCATAGTATTTCATCATGTGAATGTACCATAATTTATCAACAGATGGACATTTTTAAAAGACCCTCTTGTGAGTGGACTCCCTTGGTAGTTTGGTTCACCGCTCCAATCTGACAGCTCGATCACGCTCCAGGATATAAACGGGAGTGTTAGTACTCTAGAGTCAACTGTGTGTCACCACCACTAACAAGCTCAGGGATCTTGGTGTGTATCAGTTACTATAACAGCTAAGCTGCTGATAGCTTTAAAAAATTTTTTTGTAACAAGGAGTCTCCATTATGGAGAACGAGGTAGAGAAGACAAGTCTGAGGTGAGCTCTCTAGATGAGAGGGAGTGTCCTTGCTTTTGTGATAGAAATGGATTGTTCCAGAGCCGTATGCCAGCTTGTGGCAAAAAAAGACCATATGCAGGGCAAACCATGCTCTTGCCAGTGAGTGAGGCGAGCATTGTACCTGTCATTCCCACTCCTGTGCCACTAAGAACTTGGTCTCCATATGGTCAAATACAACTGTAGTGGGGAAATGTGGCCTCTCCCAGGGACGCTTTTCCCCAGCTTAAACCCTGTATTGTGGAAGATGGGAGGCATGGCTTCAATTAGACAACTGGCTCCCCTTGACAATTAACTTTCTCTGTAAAGTGGATCCAATAACACAATGTTCCTCCTCGGGAGGTTGTGCAATTCCATGAATGAGTAAGCCTGCTGTTTCTGGTGATGATGCCATGTGGCTTAGAAAAAGAACTTGCTCTGCTGTCCCAACACAGCTGAGCTAAAAAGACTTGGCTGTAGGTCCCTAGGAGGTGAGCACCATGGCAGTCCCCATTTCACAGATGTGCAAACTGAGGGTCCACAATGAGGGGTCATCCCTTGGTGCCTACCTCTCTCCTGCCATCCCCCAGAGCTGTCCCGGTTCCAGACAGTCGGGGAGTCTGCGCTGGGTGTGGAGTCCTTCTCGTACCAGGGGGAACCCCATGTCATCCTGGCACAGCCCTTCGCAGGCCGCTGTCTGGTCCTCACTTGGGATTATGGCCTACAGCGCTTCCAAACCAAAGAAGAGCTGTCTGGTGAGTCCGCTTCCACCTTCCTGCCCTTCAGCCCATCCTGTGCCCGGCACCCAGACCCCGTGTCCTATCTGGCCAGCCTGCCTGACCTGCCTTCCTGCCCCCCAGCGCCCTCAGTGGTGTCCTGCAAGCCGTTGGTGCTAGGCCCATGCCTCTATGTGCTGGCTGCTCGGCTGTGGGGCGGGTCACAGCTGTGGGCCCAGCACAGCCCAGACTTGCGACCAGCCCTGATGCAGGCCCTGGCTCCACGGCAGCTGCTGCGACCCAATGACGCTGAGCTGCTGTGGCTGGACAAGCAGCCCTGCTTCGTGGTGGCCGATGCATCCAAGGCAGGCAGCACCACACTGCTGTGCCGGGACGGGTCTGGCTTCTACCCGCGCCAGAGCCTGCATGCCTGGCACCGGGACACAGACGCTGAGGCCCTGGAGCTGGATGGCCGGCCCCATCTGCTGCTGGCCTCTGTCTCGCAGCGGCCTGTGCTCTTCCACTGGTCGGGGGGCCGCTTCGAGAGGCGCACGGACATTCCCGAGGCCGAGGATGTCTACGCCACACACCACTTCCAAGCTGGTGGGGAGGTGTTCCTGTGCCTCACCCGCTACATCGGGGACTCCATGGTGAGGCTGGGGCCCAGTGGGGATGGCTGGGACATGGGGTGCTCTAGCCAGACCTGAGGGAGCTCTGGTGGCCTAATGGGTAAGAAGTTATTCTGCAAACCCAAAGGGAGGCAGTTCAGATCCATCAGCTTCTCCTCAGGAGAAAGATGGCCAATGTCCTTGCATGTGATTTACAGCTTCCAAACATGCTGGTTGGTTAGGACTCAATGGAAGTGAGTGAATGAGAGTCAGACTTGACTCTGTAATGCTGACCTCCCTACACGGTTGGCCCTGCCTACACACTGACCTTACACTCTAGCCAATGGTGGCCTTTGAAAGCTGACCCCAGCCCAACAAGGTCTCTCAAGACTGACCTCACCTGATCCTTCAACCCTAACATTAGTGCCAATGCTCTAAATCCAGTCCTCACCCTGACATATTCCAATACCACTGAACCACAACCACGCCGAGCCCCACTCTGAAACTCTAACCCCCCGAGATTGATGCTGGAGCTGAGCCTTTCCCTTCCTCCAGAACTCCCTGTCCTTCTGTCCTGCTCCTTTCCCTGTGCTTCTCAAATGGTCCAGTCTTTGAGGAGGCCTAAAAATCCAGGCTTTTACCTGGGGTAAGCCAGGTGGGAATGTGTGCTTAGGAGGCTACTGGGCAGATTCAGGTGTCTGGCTTGGAGACAGCAATATATGGTAAGGAGACCAGAGACGAAGAAGACAGCTTCAGTGGTCCATGTAGAAGAGAAATGGGCAGAACCAGGGTGCAGACAGTAGGAGAAATACATGACTCTTGTACAAAAACCGTACAAATCCACTGTTCACTGACTCTGTGTGGGGTTTGAGGGAGAGATAAGCTCAAAAATATCTCCAAGATTGGTGGCAGCTTATTTCTGAAGCTGTAAATTGCAAATGGACTTCCTTTTCTAAGCTGCCCCTACGCCATCCAGAGCCTGCAGGACCATAGGCAGCCCAGCCCTGGCGCTTGGGGGCCCTAGGCCCTGACTGCCAACTGCCTTGCACGCAGGTCATGCGCTGGGATGGCTCCATGTTCCGCCTCCTGCAGCAGCTGCCCTCCCGTGGGGCCCACGTCTTTCAGCCCCTGCTCATCGCCAAGGACCAGCTGGCTATCCTGGGCAGCGACTTCGCCTTCAGTCACGTCTTCCGTTTTGAGCCCGACAAGAAGCTCCTGGAGCCACTGCAGGAACTAGGCCCCCCCGCCCTGGTGGCCCCCCGAGCCTTTGCCCACGTGGTGATGGCGGGCAAGCGCTTTCTCTTTGCTGCATGCTTCAAAGGCCCCGCGCAGATCTACAGGGTGCGCGAATTAGACCTCAGCGCCTGATACCAAATGTGACTTTGGCTATGATGGAGGGGCTGAGGTGGGTGTTGCAGTCCTCTAGATGAACCCTTTTCTGGCTTTCTGGCCCAGCTTGGGATGGCACCTGGTCCTGGGAGATGCTGCCTACGGACCAAGTTCTCCAGCCACAGGTGCCACTTCTTGGAGGATGGAGAAATGAGAGTCCTCCTGGACCTGCAGTCTGTGCTGGGGCCAGCCGCCCCCGGTGAAGGCGACTTGGGGGTTCAGGCTGGATCTCTGAATGAAATGGGAAGACCTAAGTCATAAAGGGCAGGGAATGTGCCGAGCTCCACGAGGCATGGAAGTTCTTCTGACCCGCTCCACCAACCTTTCCCATCTTCTTCGCTCCAACCCCATTAAGGAGAAGAGGTGATAACATTCCTTTTCCCTTTCCAGCGCAATCAATCTGACCAATCGTTTTTAGCTCCGCCATGACGTCATTCCGCCCTACCCCTTATGCGCATGCGCAGGGAATGATGCGGTCCCCCTCCACCCCCCAGAAAGTTCTGTGGGGAGCCGGGGTTACCCTCACCGGAGAGGGACAGAGACTAGGACTAGAAAATGCATGTGCTCGATAAACGTGACGTGCACCTGGCCTCCTGTGATTGCGGAACCACTGGGAGAAGGTGTTTTCATGAGTGGCATGGGGAAGACCTCGGGTTGCACTTTTCCTTTGATGGCTCTGGTGAGGGTGTCTAATGGAGTGTAACTTTGGTTGTGGGGGTTTTGTGATTAAAACAGAAACCAAACTATTGTCTTGGAGTTAATTCCAATTCCTAGAGACTATGAGCTCTGGTGGCCTAGCAGCAAGGAGCAGCTGTTGATTGGTGGTTGGAGTCCATCAGCTGCTCCATGGAGGAAGAAGGATGGGTATTTTCCTCTTGTGCAATTTACTGCCTCAGAGAACCTTCCAGAAGGTCAGG